CGGTGGGTCGTCGTCGTCGGTTGTCGTGCATTGTCGCCTCCGCTGCTGCCGTCGTAGTCGTTGGCGGTCGTCGTCGTCGTCGGAGAGAAGGCGGAGGAGGAGGAAGAGGAAAAGGAAGGGTGAGGAGGAGGAGGAGGATAGAGGATGGGGAGGGAGGAAAAAGGAGGAAGACAAAGGAGGAGGAGGAGGAGGAGGAGGAGGATCGAGGGTCTAGGTTGGTGGACCGGGCCTCTTGATGTTGCGTAAGCAGCTTGCCTGTAGTGGTCGCATGCGTGCGACGAGCGCCCAGCGAGGGACGCTGGGCCCCCGAGGTCGGTGGCTGGTCGCTGCCCCCCTCACTGCTCCCCGTCCCGACGCTGCCGAGATCGGTGGCTCACCGCTGCCCACAGTCGTTGCCCCCCATCGTTGCTCTCTCGGCGCGGCTCTCCCTCTCTCTCGCGATGACCCGCGCGGCGGGCGCGGGCACCACGACAGTGCGGTGCGAAGGAGGAGGAGGGAGAGGAGGAGGAGGGGAAGGAGGAGTTGGAGGAGGAGGAGGAGGAGGAGGAGGAGGATGGAGGAGGAGGAGGATGGAGGAAGAGGATGGAGGAGGACGTGACCCCCCACCGTGACCCCCCATCGCAACTCTGTGTGAAGCTGTCTGGGGCCCTCTGCCGCCGGAGACTTCCGGCGGCACGGCGGAGACCTCCGCCGTCCCCCGTGGGGCCGCCGGAGGCCTCCAGAGGAGGACCCCGACGTGGCTCTTCCCCTCCCTCCTCCTCCTCCTCCTCCTCCTCCTCCTCCTCCTCCTCCTCCTCCTCCTCCTGCCTCCTCCTTCTCCTCCTCCCTCCTCCTCCTCCTCCTCCCCTCCTCCTCATCCTCCTCTCCTCCCTCTCTCTCCTCCTCCTCCTCCTCCTCCTCCTCCTCCTCCTCCTCGTCGTGGGTGGCTTGGCAGCGCGGCGCAAGGCGCGGGCATTTTGCCCGCGGCGGGCGCGCGCCCGCGGGGCCATAGCCCCCAGCCCCATGGAGGGGCGCCGAACACGCTCGCGCTCACCCGCCTGGCACCGCAGGGAGCGGCGCCTGCAAGCGGAAGCGAGGAGGAGGCTGAGGTACCTGCAGGACGCCGAGCGCCTCAACGCGCACCATGGCAGTGCAGCACCGATGGGGCGCGGCGTAGGTGCAGGCAGCGGCAAGGCAATGGCAAAGGAGGAGGTGGTTCATATGTGGTCCGCCGCAGCTGCAGCGAATGGTGGTGGAGCGACCGCCTGGAGGATTTATACTACACCTGCAGATGCGGGCAGACGCTGCCTGGAGCGGGGAAGGCCAACCACTGGGGTCCAAGCGCGGCGAGCAAGACCAGCCAATGGGGACCCAGTACGAGCAAAGACGGACGAAGGCAGCTGGAGCCCAGAGGTGCCCATGAGAAGGGCAAATGTGCGGAGAAGCTCGCCGAAGCGCTGCAGCCGGAGACCAGCACTATCGGCACCATGGAGTTGACCAACGGTGAGCAGATACGTCAGCAGATCGCAGGCGCAGCCGCAGCGCTGCAGGAGGCCAACCCGCCCAAGGCCGCGCCGTCCAAGGGGGCGAGGCTGGCGGCAGCAGCAAGGGCGTTGGACGTGGCGAACAGGCAGTTCGAGGACGCCTACCGCGAGAAGTAGGCCGCAGACGAGAAGGCGGCAAAGGCGGCGGCTCGCGTGGAGGCGAAGGCGGAAGAAGTGCCGGCGGAGAGGTTCATCGAGGCGATCCAAAGGGAAGGTAAGGAGGCCACCAAGGGGATAGTGGAGCAGCTCGTCAGTGGCCAGATGGAGGAGCTGACGGAGGGCCAGCTGATGGCAGACCTTGCTAAGGAGCTGGACCTCGAGGAAAAGGACCTGGACGAGGAGGCCAAGAGAGAGGCGACGGCGGCGAAGGAGCAGGTGGTGGCACAGATGAAGGCCAAGGCCCAGGAGGCGAAGGCAGTGATCACGCAGGCGGCAAGGAAGCGCAAGGCAGCGTACGCAGAGGATGCGAAGACGGAGGAGCAGACGGCGCAGATGGCAGGGAGGGGCAGCAGCAGCAGTAGCAAGCTCGGCCCACCAGGAAGAGCAGCTAGTGGCAGCGCAGCAGGAGCGGCGCAGCCAGAAGGAGCGGAGGAGCTTCTGCAGGGGAGGCGCGCGAAGGGCGAAGGCAAAGGGCCTGCATCCCCGAGCGCGGGGACGGGCTCTTGACAGGAGCCGCGCGAAGCCCGCCGCGACAGAGGAGGCGGCGGCGGGCCTCATGAGCGCGCGCCCTTTTTTCGCGAACCTCACGACCTGGGGTCCCACAGCCAAGTTGTGGATGGGGCAACAGTGGACGCTCCAGGGTCACTGCGCCTACACGCTCCAGGAGGCGCATGAGGCGGAGGCGGCGCTAGAGCGGACGGAGCACGACTCTGTGAAGATGGGGGACAGGGCGCGCTTTGCGGCTACGACAGCTAGTTCGAGATCGGAGCGGCGGCGCCTGGCGGCAGCGCAGGCAGGCGCAGGCGCCAGAGGAGGAGGCGAAAGCAGCCGGGAGACGACAGGAGAGGGCCGCGCTGAGGAGGAGGCGAGGCTGAATAACGAGAGGCGGGAGGCACTTGCCCCACACGGGAGGCATTGCTTCCCGCGGGGAGGAGGAGCGCCAGCAGCAGCTTGCGAGGAGCGGCGCGCTGCTGGCGAGGGCCACACTGCTGGCTGCACAAGCCACGGAGGCCCCCCGCCCCCCGGAGGAGGCGGCGGGGGGGGGTCAGGCCGGCCACTGACTGCGACTGCCATCGTGAAGTTTAGACAGGCGTCAATCCCGACCGCCGCCACTGCCCTGGATAGGTTCCACGTCAAGGGCTCGGCGCAGAGGAGGGGGGCCCTGCCGAGCAGCCGGGGGGCAACCGCGACGCGCGGGAAGGCCAGGGGCAGCTGAGAGAAGGGGCCGAGCCGAGCGGGGGCGAAGCCAAGAAGGGAGACGCCATGAGCACGGAGGAGCTGCCGACAGCGAGGAGAACGTCAGGAGACGACCCCTCCAGCGATGAAACAGGGCAAGGAGGTGAGGCAGAGGAGCCAAGCATAGAGGAGAAGGTGGAGGCGCCGCGAGCAGGGGCGGCGGACGCCGACACCGCGCCGCTCGGGGACATGAGGGGGGCAGGCAGGGCGGCGACCAGAGGAGACAGCCAGGCCGAGGCGCCCAGCTACATCGGGGAGTGCGCAGCATGCCAAGTCGGCTCGGTCGCAGCGGAGCAGCTTCGATGGCAAAACGCTCAGACCACAGACGCACTGGGGCAGTTCTTTTGCATGGGATACCACATCGACCCGCACGAGAGGCACCGCTTCACGAGACGAGGGGGGGCCTGCCAGCTCAATGAGGGCTGCAGCATGTGGCGAGAGGAGAGGAGAATACAATACGGCAACCCACACGCGGCAGACATCGCGCCAGGCATGGCGCTGCAGGCGGAAGAGGAGAGAAGGCCAGGGCGGCACGCAGTGGCATGAGAGCCAGCACGAGAGGCTTCCGCAAGTGGCGTCGCGGAGCGGCAGCCTGGAGCGCTGCATCGGATCGCGCAGCCATCGAGCAGAAGGCAGGAAGGGGGGCCCACGCGGCGGAGGGCAGAGCCTCCAACCGCCCGACGGAGATCGTGGACGCGAAGGCGGGGGACTTTGTGAGAACATGGGGGGCGCGAGGGGGCGGCCCACAGCACGCACAGGCAGATGCTGGGGGCGCCGAGGAGGAAGGCGCAGGAGGCGGAGGAGCCGTCTGGGCGCACGCCAGGTGGCACCTTCAGGCGGCCCCGCACCTGTGGGCGGCCGTGGTGGCGGCCGAGCCTGCGCCCAGGGCAGGGGCAGCCGCACCAGCTGCCCGACCGTCACCGGTGGCAGCTGCGCCGGGGGGGGGGCGGCGGCAGCACCAGCAGGGGCCACTGAGGGAGCGTGCGCCCAGCGGCCTTGGCGGAGGCGAACTTGCCCACGAGCTGCGCGGAAACGTCGAGCCCAGGCTGGCTTGGCACCTGCCCTGAGAAAGAACGGCGCGTCCTCCTCGGGGCAGCGCTATCGCATCGCGCGCGCCCGAGCGACACCTTTGTCAGCTGTCCCGAGGAGGGGTCGCGGGTACGTATTGCCCGCTCCCAGAACACCTCGAGCCAGGACGGTGGCTGGAGGAGCACGAAGGAGGGAGGGAGAAGGAGTAAGAGGAGGAGGAGGAGGAGGAGGAGGAGGAGGAGGAGGAGGAGGAGGAGGAGGAGGACGAGCAGGAGGAGAGAAGGAGGAGGAGGAGGAGGAGGAGGAAGGAGGAGGAGGGGGGGGGAGGGCGAAGATTTAGAGGAGGATTTGGGCGAGGAGCTGAGGACGAGGACGGAGGACGGAGGCGAGAAGGAGGATCGGTGGCGGCCGTGGCGGCTGGCGGCCGCCTCTACAGCGAGGCGACGTGGCCCAGCTGCTGGAGCGCCCCGCGCTGGCGGAGGTGCTCCACGGCCGCAGCGCGGCGCAGATGATGAGGGTCATGGACGAGGACGCCGCCCATCCTCCTCCTGGCGTGTCAGATGGCTGAGTTCGCTCCCAGACTGTGGGTGATGTCAGCGAGTTCCTTCTCCTCCTCGTCCTCCTCCTCCTCCTCCTCCTCCTCCTCCTCCTCCTCCTCCTCCTCCTCCTCCTCCTCCTCCTCCTCCTCATACTCCCTCCTTCCCTCCCCTCCTCCTCCTCGTCCTTCTCCCCCAACCCTCCTCCTCCTCCCTCCTCCTCCTCCTCTCCTCCCTCTCCTCCTCCTCTCCTCCTCCTCCTCCTCCTCCTCCTCATCGTCCTCCTCCTCCTTATCGTCCTCCCTGTCCGCAGCGCGGCGCAGATGATGAGGGTCATGGTCGAGCACGCCGGGAGAGATCGGATAGCACTCCAGGGATGGAGCGCCCTGGCACCTCAGAGGTCCAGGCGTCGCACGTTTCTCGCAACGGGCGGCTCTGCCTCGTCTCGGGCCCTGGGACCCTCTCGGATCGATCAGCTCAGAAAGTGCAGCAGGAAGATGGGGTCCAGGGCTCCAGTCGAGCTTGGTCCACGATGTTACAATTGTCTCGCGACGTCGGACCTCAGGACAGGGATGGAGCACCCGAGGCACAGTTCGGGGGTCCCCAGCTGGTGCGGTGACCACGCCTCACAGGAGGGCGAGTGGAGACAACGGTGGTTGGCCTTCGGGGGCGTCGTCGCCACGGCTGGGCGCAGCTCGGAAAACTGGTGCGTTTGGACCCTGATCCGAACACCGTGTGGTGGATCACAGAGTCAGGCGCCGTTCGGGCTGCGGGCGGGACACGCCGGGCACTAATTGTAGCACAGCGGAGTAAGACGGGGATAAGGCGAGCCGCACCCCACACACGCACAATACATATCTAGACATACATATATATATATATATATATGTGTGTGTATAATCTACAGACATGCGTACGTATATGTCTGTATAACACACAGCTGCATATATATATATATATATATATATCCGTGTGTGTATGTATGTATGTATGTATGGATAAGCGTATGCGTAGTTGTGAATACTATGTTTATGTCTGCAAATAGACTTATAAATAATATTTGTATATACGAATGGGTTGTTTTCATGAGGAATGGTCAATATTCATGGCATGGAGGGGCACACCGCTTTCCTCTTTCTAAGGCTGCCACACCTCTTGCCCCCTCCTCCCCCATGCGCCGCAGACCTGCCGTGCTGGCATGCGAGGCCATCCACGTTTACCGAGAGGTTGACGTGGATGCCGAGACGGCGTGCTACGCCGTATTGGATACGATCGTTGATGGCATCGCGCCGTCCCTCATGGAGTGCCATGCTCTGCCCAGTGCGGATCGGCGGGTCGGTGCAAGCCCCGACGCCATTACGTCTGGCCCGAGGCTCTGCTGAGTCGCTTCGCCCAGGGCTCCCTGGCCAGCCTTCACCCTGTGGGCGCCAGCTCTGCGCCAAGACAAATGACAACACCTGATCACGATAGGGCGGAGGCCCCATTTTACGGCCCGTGCACTGGTAAGTAGCAAAACCCCGCAAACGCGTTGACACAACATTTCGCAACACTTTTCATTTGAAATTATTCGTACCTATACGACCCCACTTCGGGTGGTAAGGGAGTTGAGATGCGGGGGGGGGAAGAACCAACTGCCCGCAAATGCGATGAGTGTGAAGATGACGATGCTGGTGACGCGCCCTCGAGTTAGCGACGACGCGTGATGACGATGTTGCGTTGCGATGTAATGGCGCTATCGTCTCCGCTTTTGATTTCACTCGATCGATTCCATTATTGACCTCGCGGCCAGTCTTGCCACCAATGGATTCAGCGACCAATACCACTAGCGATCTCACTATCGATCCCTCGATCGATCTCACTATGGATCCCATTCTAGTGATTTCACAACCAGTGTCACGATCCATCTCACTGCCGATCTCACGTTTGATCTTACTACCCATCCCACTCCAGCTATCTCATGATCGACCTCACCATCGACCCCAACATCGATACCAAGGCGGGACGAGACCTCAGCCACTGCCCGCCCGCCGACGACGGAGCACCGACAGGGCACCAGCGGGACACCCGAGGATGGCGGGACGCCCTGGGCCACCGCGCGGCCGCCGGGGGGCGGAGGGGCGGTCCACTGCATGCGAGTCGCCCTGGCGACGGCGGGGTCCATCCTCTCGCGCTCCCGCGCAGCTTCGCTTCGCCCGCACGCACGGCACGAGCACGAAACCGAAACTAATTTCCCGGTGCCCTAGCGACGGCGGGATCGGTCCTCTCGCGCGCCCAAGCAGCTTCGCCTCGCCCGCACGCACGAAGGACACGAACAGGAAACCGAAACCGATTTCCCCGTGGGGGGGGGGGCTCTCCGATCCACTGCGATTGTCACCTCCAACACCCGACTGCAGATAGTAGATGTCAGTGACGCCTTATCTGAACATGCTGTTCCTTTCTTCACGGCACGTGCTGAATCGCTCAACTCCTGATCAATTAATTTGCAGCATCGCCTCCAGAAGGCAGTTCGTGACAAATGAATCGTGACGTTGCAGTGCCATGCTCACGTTGGTGTTTGACTCGGGTCTGAGCTCTTGAGCCGTGTGTGGTGACAAACAGAAGAATAGCACGCACGTCTTCCCTCGTAAGGGGGCCTGCGCACTTCATGCAAGGAGGTCCCCTCACAAAAGGGACGGCTCGAAGGGAGTGCAAGTGCAATTTCCGACCTCCATCCTCTGCCCTCCTCGTCGTTCTTCCTCGCCCTCAGATCCGCCTCCTTTACCTCTTCATCCTTGCCCTTCACGTCCTCGGAGCGCTTGCGCCACAGGCCTGGCAGTGCAAAATTGGTAAGTGCAGCATCATCCTCATATGCGGAGCTCTCTACCAGAACTGCGGTCCAAGTGCCTCTGCCAACAGTGCCCAAATAGCTTGCGGTCCTTTGTTTCGGCCTGGCCACTTCAGCCGCTTAGGCACGAGTCCCTGCTTCCAGGTAGGCTGCATGCCCACACCCTTATCAATTTCAGTATCTATGCCAGAGGATTGTGGGTGAAGGGTCCTTGCCCAGCACGCCCACATAGCCCGCGGTCCGTGGTTTCGGCTTGCCAGATTCGGCATAATGAGAAAGAGTCCCGGCATAATATGTCATCTTTGGCGCCACAAGTTGCGCTTACGTTTCTGAACCATCATTGATCACCGGCCTCATGGCGGGAGAGTGTTTAGCCCCTTCACGCGCTGCATGTCAATAGGTCCCCCCATTGCGAGACGAGCCCAGCGGGGTGCCTCGCCATACGTCTGGCTATGTAGCATCTTTCCCCATGGGGCCCCCTATGGTGGTGATTGTTGGGCAGGGGGACACGACTCCTGGGAGACCTTCCACATGCAGTCGATTGCCGCATCATGATCTTACTCCTTGCGGGGCTCCCTTGGGCGTTGCTGGGATTAGAAATAGAGGATTAGCGCCATGCCACCCGACCCTTGTGGCTTCGGAGACCTCGCTAGGTCGATTTCCTCATCGGGTCGTACGCCCAGTATCTGTCACTCGCGCTTCGAAGCGGCCGCGCTGAACGGTTCGGTACAGCTGTTGCGCCCTTTTCGGCCCAGTGTAGTGGTGCTGGTAGCAGTTTGGCTCCTCTTGACGTTTCGTTCCACAGTGCCCGCGTGGGAGGGGGCAGCTCATCTTCGAAGCGTTCTGGTGCCGCCGGCATTCCCTTATGTTCCTCCCCAACTCGTCCAGTCTGGGGGCGTCGAAGAGGGGGGCAAGGCCCGGGGGGGGGAGATCATGGCCAGCGCCGTGCAATCCCCCCGACTCGATTGTCCCCTTGGTGCGAAGTTATTCGCGCTTCGCGGTTCTGCTCCTATTCCTCCTCATCCTCCTCTCCTTCCCTGGGAGGCGGCGCGAGAGCGCGAAGCTGTTCGCACTTCGCACTTCGCGCAGCGCGAAGCGCGAAGTTGGGAGCCCTTGTTTATTGCCCCCTCTTCTTCTCTCAACGCGTCCCCCGGCCCCCCCCCCGTCCGCGCACGTGCGTCGGGTCGTCGCCCCTTCCCGGTCCCCTCCAGGGCTGGGCCCGGAAGACCTGGCGCCAGGACGCCCAAACTTCGGGGGTTGCTAGAGGTGCCCCGGGGCCCAAGGTACCCCCCCAGCTTTTTGCTCTATCTTGGAGCCCCTGGGGCCCTCAGGGGCCTCGTGAGGCGTGCCCTGGAGGCCGTCTGGGCCACCCCGAGAATCCTGGGGGTACCTTGGGCCAGGGCTACTTCTAGCAACACCCGAAAGCTGACGAGTCAACGGCACCGTAACGGGTACTTACTAACGGGTACTTTGAATTGTTGCCGAAAGTTGCCACTTTAGGGCCTTTTTCCTGCATTGCAGCTTTGCCCACATCGGGAAGGGTTGGGTTCGCTGGGTCACTGGCCAAAGTACCCGGTAGTGGAGTCCCCGTTTGAGGGGCGCTGAACGAGAGAAACGTCCGGCGTGATTGCAGGTTCCAGCTGCCAGGGGTCTGCCCCGGGCCTCTCCACGGGTCCGCGCCGACCCGTTCCTGTCGATCGAAGCAGCCCGCACATAGGTGCCAAGCATAGTATAACCTGAAGGAGGGATGGGGGCCCCTACCTCCGACGCTTCCCAGAGATCCGACGGTCTGACTGCTAGGTTGTCGGCCAGACTGTCGACGATGTTGACGGCGATTTGATCGACGAGGTTTCGGTGGATTGCCAGACTGACGACGGTACTGTTTCAATCCAGCCGCTTGTTGGCCCGATTCCAGCCCCCGGGGACCGGTGTCGGGGCCACAGGGCCCAACGGTGGGGCGCAACGCCGGCCCCAGGGAACTGGCCGGGGCCTGGGGCCGCGAAGCTCGAAGAGAGTGCAGCGTCGGACGTCTGGGCTTGCCCTGCTCAGGACGGGGTCTCCGGAGGTCCCGCACGAGAGGTTCGCATCGTATCGACCTGCGGCGACCCCGCCGGTGGCGTACGTTCAAGGTTGAACGCCGCCGGCGACCCAGAATCGGTCGATGTTGAACGATCCGACGTTTTGGTAAACTACCGATCGGTCAAGGTTGAACGCTTCCCGCGGTGTCAGGAACCAACGCCCGGGTCGACACGAACTTGCCGTATCCTTCCCGATGGTCGCAGGACGCCAACGAGAAACGTGCACCGATCCTGGCTAGAGCGATCCCGGGCCCATGGTCGGTGCAGGTGCCTTCTTGGCCAAGCCATGCGGGCGAGTGCGCTGAGATCCTGGGCCAAGGATCGGCCTGGCCAGGGATCGGTGCAGGTTTGCAGGTGGCGCCCTCCCGTACAGCGCGCTTCTCTCATCCCGAGCTGTTTTTACCTAACAGCTCTTGCTGATAGGTTTCTAGTGGTCTCAAAAGAGAGCATCATGACTCCTCAGGGGGGTCTGGGCGGGACCCGGACAGGCTGCCGCCGCGGCTGCCGCCGAGCCGAAATCGCCCCTCGCAAAATCGCTCTTGGCGCTCCCTCCATTCCCGAATGCCCCACCCAACTGCCCGGAGCCATGTAGGCCATTCTTCGTGAGGATGCCAGGCCACTTCGTGGTCTTCGAGTTCCCAGAACTCCATTCCTGGGCATGATTTTGAATGCCCGGAGCCAACTGTAGGCCACTTCGTGTCTTCGAGTTCCCAGAACTCCATTCCCGGGCCACATTTTGAATGCTGAGGCAGGCTGATGCTGAGGCTGAGGCAGGCTGAGGCGGGCTGAGGCAGGCAGGCACTGAGCTGCAGGCTGAGGCTGAGCTGAGGCAGGCTGAGGCTGAGGCTGAGGCTGAGGCTGAGGCTGATGCAGGCTGAGGCTGAGGCTGAGGCAGGCTGAGGCTGAGGCAGGCTGAGGCTGAGGCTGAGGCAGGCTGAGGCTGAGGCTGTGACTGTGACTGCCGTTGCCACTGCGACTGTCATCGCGAATGCGACTACGACTGCGAGAACAGCAGAATTCTAAAACTGGATTCTCATCTGAATCTTAAGGGGAATGCTTCCATATATGCTCCTACACATCGCTGTTAGGTTGCTTTGCCGGGATAATCTTTGACGGCCCCAGGCACCCTGGGATGTTCTGTGTGCTTTGGCCGGCGGAGAGTCTCGTGCTCTTGAAGGATGTGATGGGCCGATGTTCCGCCACCACTACAATAGGTAGGAGAGGGAGGAGGAGGAGGAGGAGGAGGAGGAGGAGAAGGAGGGGGAGGATCCTGGCAAAACGGCCACTGAACGCCAACAAGCGGACGAACTGCTCCCAGACATCCTCCAATCCGATCTGCCATCTGCGGCCCCAGGGCTCCCGACCCCTTCCCCAGGCCCCAGATCCATGATTCATGGCCCCGCGCGTCCGATACGAGGCGCCAGAGGCCGGCGTCGAGGAAACACGCCCAGATCGATCTGGGCGTGTTTTCTGTAGCCCCGAGGGTTTGGGGCAGCGTTGCGGGCTATCTTTGTCCCGCATGCGTCCCCCCTCCGTTCTGTGAGCAACCGCTCTGTTTGCGTCGCCTCCCCTCCCCCGATCCGCCCTCTGCCTATGCCTTCTAGCTGCGTCGCCTTTGGGTCTGTCCGTCTTTCTCCCGATCTTCGGCCTAGGATCGCCCAGGCTATTTTTTCCTGGCGGTGTTGGTGACGGTTCTGTTCCTTCCTAACATCATGAGGATGATGTTGAGGATGATGTTGATGATGATGCTGATGAGGATGAGGAGGATGAGGAGGAGGAGGATGAGGATAAGGATGATGGTGATGCTGATGATGATGATGATGATGATGATGAGGAGGAGGAGGAGGAGGATGATGAGGATAGTGAGGATGGTGATGATGCTGATGATGCTGATGCTGCTGATGATGATGATGATGATGATGATGATGATGATGATGATGATGATGATGCTAGGAGGTCCGGGCTCCCCCAGGACGGAGACGGGCGCGTCGTGTTCGAGGAGTTCCGGAAGGCCCTGGGCCAGTCGTCCAGGTAGGGCCCCGAGAGGGCAGGCGCTGAGCCGCCTGCGCCGGGACGCCGCGCGCGGCACTCGTCCGTTGCCGCCACGCGCCGAGCGGCGGAGGAGGAGGAGGAGGAGGAAGAGGAGGGCCAGTGTAAACCCAAGGGTCATCAACGATGTTGGAATTAACGCTCCCTCCAAGCTCCCTTTTGAGAGGCCCCTATAACGATTCACTTCCATCGAGGAAACTACCGCGTTGGAAGACAACCGTTTGAAGATCCTGAAGCATGCCAAAACATAGTTCTCGGATTTTCAACGCCATGGATCAACTTGACTGCTGAGTCTTGACGATCCGGAATCGTGCCAGAACGCCACTTGGGAGACTTCAACACCGCGAATCAACATAATTGTTGCACCCGCATAATCCCGAATCCTTCCAAAACATAATGTCTGGTACATTCGTCATGGGAGTCCGTGAAGTTCTTGCAAATTGTTTAAAGGAATGTGCGCGGCGCTAAGGCGAGAGCCACATTTTGAAGAGGAACCGCCCTCAATGCGTGAAACCCTTGCAAATGTTTAAAGCGAATGCGCGTGGCGCTAAGGCGAGAGCCACATTTTGAAAACCACCCGCCCTCAATCCGTGAAACCCTGGCAAATGTTGAAGGCGAATGTGCGCGGCGCTAAAGCGAGAGCCACATGTTGAAACCCACCCGCCTTCAATCCGTGAAACCTCTGCACTTGTTAAACGCGAATGAGCGCGGCGCTAAAGCGAGAGCCAAAGTTCGAAAACGACCCGCCCTCAATCCGTGAAACCCGTGCAATGTTAAAAACGAATGTGCGCGGCGCTACGGCGAGAGCCACCTTTTGAAAACCACCCGCCCTCAATCCGTGAGACCCTTGCACATGTTTAAAGCGAATGTGCGCGGCGCTAAGGCGAGAGCCACAGCTTGAGAACCACCCGCCCTCCATCTGTGAAGCTGTTGCCACTGTTTAAGCTTCAGAGTCGTAAATGGTAAGGAAGTCTCCGGCGAAACGCCCAGCCCGCCCTAAAAATTGGCCTCGGGGTGCGACAGGGAGAAGTTACTGATAAGGAACAGGAGTAGGGGAGGAGGAGGAGGAGGAGGAGGAGGACGAGGAGGAGGAGAAGAAGGAGGAGGAGGAGAGGAGGAGGAGGAGGAGGAGGAGGAGGAGGAGGAGGAGGAGGAGCAGCAGAGCAGGAACAGGAGGAGGAGGAGGAGGAGGAGGAGGAGGAGAATGGCCCCCCTTTGACATGTAAAGGGGCGCAGAGGAGGGGGGAGGAGGAGGAGGAGGAGGAGGAGGAGGAGGAGGCGGAGGAGGAGGAGGAGGGGAGGAGGAGGAGAGGAGGAGGAGGAGGAGGAGGAGGAGGAGGAGGAGGAGGAGGAGGAGGAGAAGGAAGAGAAGGAGGAGAAGGAGGAGGAGGAGGAGGGAGGAGGAGTGCGACATACCTCCACAGAGGGCCCCTCCTCGACTCACAAAAGATCGACACAGGGGCAAACTTGCGCTGATGGGGGGCCTTGAAGTATGGACTCGAGCCTCCTCATGTTAGCGTTGTCTGGACTGCTGCTGGCATCAGCCTTCATGATGAACCAGTGCCACTTAATCACACCAAGCGTCACGTGAACGATGATGACTTATGTGAACAATTAAATCGGGCGCTGCCTCGCGGCACAATGGTTGGCGTGATACCCACTCTAGCGCCACTTACAGGCCTCGGAAAAAATAGCGAACACTCATGCCACATTCATCTGTCCACGCCTGCCCTCCCCCACCCAATGTTCGAATGTTCAAAGTTGGCGGTGGGTCTGATGAGTTGCACCCCGACGGCAGTCTCCCCCCGCGCGTGCCAACTTTGAGCTTGGGGGGGGGCAGGGGGGTGTTTACTGATTGTTTCCCTCTACCGTAGCACGTGCGATCGATGCTGCGAGGAGGACGGAGAGCGGGAGGCTCGGCCCCGACGGCGGCGGGCACGGGCAAGAGCGGGGAGGCAGGGCGACAGCGGTTCTGACCTCTTTCGGGCAGGGGCCCCGCTGCCGGTGCCGCCGCGGGCGGTGCCCGCTCGAGGGAAGAAGTCGGGTGCCCCACCAGCGGCAGCTGTCGGAGTTGGTCGACATGTGTGGACACGGCGGTCCGCCGACACGCCTGACCCTGGCGGCAGGGTGTTCTGGAGGGGGAGGAAGAAGTTGGGGGGAGGAGGAGGAGGAGGAGGAGGAGGAGGAGGAGGAGGAGGAGGAGGGAAAAGAGGGGAAAGAGGAGGAGTGGGCCACGGTGAGGATGGGAGAAGGGGGGGGGGCCCTGGAGGAGGGGGGTCCCAGGAGGCCCCTGGTTGTCTCCAGAGCCCCGATGAGGGCCAGCACAATCCCAAACCTCGATCCTCGACCGTCGATCCTAGAGGATCAAGGACCGAGGTGGAGGAGGTGGATGAGGAGGAGAAGGAGGAGGAGGAGGACGAGGAGGAGGAGGACCCAGACATTGAGCGGAAGTGCCAGGATTGAACAAATCAATCCGACTGAGCCCGTTCGGCTTCCGAGCACATTCGGCCGCCAAATGGACAGCCGAACAGGCTCAATCCCAACAGGGCGGTGGGAAGTTTCCTTATCCGGCACCCGAAGGGAACCCTAGGGTGCCTCCTCCTTCGAGTGTCGCAAACAAGGAACCCTCCCTCCTTCCCACTCCCTCCCTGGCCTCCTACCCCTCGTCCCTCTCCGCCCTCCCTCCCCCCAGGAGTGAAGGGCCCCTCTAGAGGAGACGAAGGGAAGAGAAGGAGGAGGAGGAGGAGGAGGAGGAGGAGGAGGAGGTTGAGCAGGAGCAGGAGCAGGAGCAGGAGCAGGAGGCTAAGGCATATTATTGTGCCCGAAAGTATATGGAAGGCCCCACCCTTCCCCCAGGGGCCGCCTTGTCATCCTTTGAAAACAGCAGACGGCATAAACATGTTTTTTTTCAGAGATCCGCGTGGATTGCTTGGATCCGTGCCAGAACCCCCTGGCGGCGCCTGCGGCGCCGCCCCTGGCGCGCTCCACGCGCGAGGGAGGAGGGTCCAGCCCAGACCCAAGAAATCCGCGCGGACCTCCAAAAGTTTGCGTTTCTGCCGCATCTTGTTCCTCTAGTCCTGACTGGTTTTCTGTTGCGGTCCCGGGGCCTGACGATTGCCCCCCGAGGCCGAAAACGGCGAGAAAACGCCGTCTTGATATTTGCGTTACGTTGGAGCCACCAGCAGGAGGAGGAGGAGGAGGAGGAGGAGGAGGAGGAGGAGAAGGCGGAGGAGGAGTTGGAGGAGGAGGAGCACCCCGAAATCCGCCGATATGATTTGTTCAATCCGCGACCCCTTCTCCCAGGTCAGTTTTTCGCCCCGGGTCACTTTTTGATACTCCCAGGGCCCGATGACGGGCCCGAGCGCCCGAAATTGGGAGAAACGCCCAGATTGAAGCTGTCCTGCTTAGAGCGATCCTCGCCCAAGATCGCGAGGCGGGAGAATTACCCTGGGAGCACCGGCGCACTCTGGACCCGACGGCCGCGGCATGGAGTCGGGACCCGTCGAGGGCACGACGCGGGAGACCCAGGGAGCACCGGCACGCTCTGGGCCGGGCGCCCCCGGTCTGCGGGGTGTGCCAGGCGGGCCGGGAGCTGCGTCCCCCTCGCCCCCCTCCTCCTCCTCCTCTTCCTCCTCCTCCTCCTCCTCCTCCTCCTCCTCCTCCTCCTCCTCCTCCTCCTCCTCCTCGTCCTTCGAATCTCGCGGCCCCGACCTGTCGAGCAGGGGGAAATCAGATCGGCGGAGAGCTGCGGCGTTTCGGCCACGCGCAGAGGGGGGGGGCAGGGGGAGGGGAAGGCCTCTCGGGAGCAGGCTCCTTCTCGGAAGCCTTCCCCCCGCCCCCCTGCCCCCTTCCCAGACCCCCGACGTCATGATTTTTGTATGACGTCGACCTCCAGAGGTCTCGACCCATTCCCTTGGACCCGACTTTCATCCTGATTTGTTTTTTGACGGTCCGAGGCCCAGCGAGGGCCCGAACAGTTGAAAATAGCGAAAAGCCGTCCGTCATCATTTTTTCTTGACTCAAAGGGGTCTGGGCTGTTCGGACGGGGCTAGGACGAAGACAAATTCGTTCCAGAGCGTCCCTGACCGCTCTCAGAGCATTATGGAACGCTCTCAGAAGGCCGCGGCGCCCGATACATCCTCCAGATCCGCCAGATCTCAGAGATTCCCCATTCATCCTCACAGTCAACTCGCACAGTAAGGATGAGCGATTTTTCCAAGGTTACCCTTGCATCCTTCCCCTTCAGCCCATCCTTAGCCGCTTTCGCTGGCCGCGCCCCGCTCGCAAGAGGTCGACATGGCCTTCCAAGGCCCTGTCATCCTTATCGTGATGGTACGGGCTGACGGTACCCGATGTTATCCTCGTCCTGTCTTCGTTCGTAGACACGCTAGCGGCGATGTAGGCAACGGCGATGCAGGTTTCGGTGTTGTAGGTGGGGGGGGGGGTCGTGACCCACACGGCTTTGTAGGAACGAGGCTCCTTCGTGCCTTCCCCTGCAGCTTGTTCTGCGCGAGGCCGGCGTCGCCGAAGCCGGGGTTCCCAGCATCGCCGCCAGCGTGGCCCCGCAGGGGGAGGAGGAGGGGGAGGAGGAGGAGCAGGAGGAGGAGGAGAAGGGGAAGGGGAGGAGGAGGAGGAGGAGGAGGAGGAGGAGGAGGAGGAGGTGGCCCCGCCTCGTCCTGGCCGCGCGCGCCGCCGAGACTTTGGGCACGGCGCGGGCGCCGCCGCGCACGCGCCGCGCGCGGCGCGCGGCGTGCACGCCCCCAAGCCGCCGCGAGGGGCCGCCCTCCTCGGCGCCGCGGCCTGGGAGAGACCGGAGGGGCCCAAGGGCGCCGCCGACACCGCCGCCGCCGCCGGCGACGACGACGAGGACGACGAGGACGACGACGACGACGAGGACGAGGACGAGGACGACGACGACGACGACGACGACGACGACGAGGAGGACGACGACGACGACGACGACGACGACGACGACGACGACGACGACGAGGACGAGGACGACGAAGATCACGACCACGACGACGACGACGATGGCGACGACGAGGAGGAGGACGACGAGGACGACGACGAGAGCGACGGCGCCTCCCTCGTGCCCTCTCCAAAAAATGCAGTCGAGCATCGATCGGATCAAGAGACCTTCTTTCGAATAGCTGGGCCAGCGTTTTTTAGCCACCCTGTTGGAAAGCTTGCCCAGTTTCGTGATCGCGTTTGCCCTTCCAGCGTTGGCACGGACATGTGGCCCAGGCTCGTCTCAAGACATTTCCGGGAATTTGGCCCAGATTTCTTAGAAGATAATTGTTTTATCAAATTTTCGGTTGTGTCCCCTCCCCCCTTGATTCCCCCGCGTCGCGGAAAAAAACAAGACGTGAGATCGATTGACGTGTTCAGCAGTTTTTTCGTTCGCTCTTGGAGGTCTCCCAGCCTTGGGCTGCTTTCCAGCAGCTGCGCCCGGGTCGTTCGGAACTGATGCCGCAGATCCGAGTCGTGACCTGAAAACGAGAGGAGGAGGAGGAGCAGGAGGAGGAGCAGGAGCAGGAGGAGGAGGAGGAGGAGGAGGAATAGAAGGAGGAGGAGGAGGAGGAGGAGGTTTCCTCGCGTCGTGAAAGACCTCACCACGGGAGGTCCACACGTCGGGGCTCTGAGGAGTCCGTCGTCGGTGGTTCCGGTCGTTTTGTGTCCCCGTCTCATCGGTCGGCAGCCGCCGCCGCCGCCGTCGCGGTCACCGTCGTCGTCGTCGTCGTCGTCGTCGTCGTCGTCGTCGTCGTCGTCGTCGTCGTCGTCGTCGTCGTCGACGTCGACGTCGACGTCGACGTCGACGTCGACGTCGACGTCGACGTCGACGTCGGCGGCGTCCTAGTCGTCGTCGTCGTTGTCGTCGTCGTCGTCGTCGTTGTTGTTGTTTTTGTTGTTGTTGTCGTCGGTGGTCGTCGGTGGCCGAGTGTGCGCCCTGGGCGCAGACGTTGCCTCCCAAGGCGATCGAGCTCCTGGTGCGGTGCGGGGCGCAGGTGGACTGCAGGCAGAATGAGCTGAGGCCCCCACGCGTGCGGGGGGAGGTCTACAGTCAAGACGATGGAGTAAGGACCACCCCTGACATCCCCATTGCGACGGAGGGTTTGGGGCAATGTTTACTGCCTCCTGTGGCCCTCCCGGGACCATCCCGAAACTGCTCCGGACGAAACGCCAGTCAAAGGAAAGGGAGTGCAGACCTCTGGGGAGTCACGGCGTGAAAAAAAACACGACGCCAGATGTCTGGGGAATAAGGGGCTCCGGTTTTGTGCCCGTTCTTTTGGGAGGAGGAGGAGGAGGAGGAGGAGGAGGAGGAGGAGGAGGCGGAGGAGGAGGGAGGATGAGGAGGAGGGAGAGGAGGAGGAGGAGGAGGAGGAGGAGGAGGAGGAGGAGAAGGAGGGGAAGGATGTCTGAAAATAAGGTTCACTTTGGGTTCGTAAGGGGCTCCGGTGTTGTGCTGATTCCTCTGATCAGGCTCGGGCAGTTGCTGTGCGACCGAGGCTCGCCGTGGCCAGAAAAGCACCCTCATTCCTTATTCAGCTTTCCTTCTGGTAAAATATGAGGACTGAAGGGCACTGCGCGAGGAGGAGGGGCAGAGAGACGGAATCCCTCATCATTTGCCTCCCCCTCTTCATCCCCCTCTGCCCTCCGCCCCCTGTTCCTCCTACCCTCTCCCTTCTCCGCCTCCTCATCCCCCTCCTCCATCCTCCGTCTCCTCCGCCTCCTCCACCTTCTTCCCTTTCCTCCTCCTCGGCCTCCTCTTCCTCCTCGAGGTATGTTTTCACCCTGATGCTTGCAAGCGAGACCCTGACCAGCGGAAGTCCCCGCGGAGATTCTCCTCACATTCCTCCGCATCCTCCTCCTTCTCCTACTCGTCCTCCTCCTTCTCCTTCTCCTCCTCCTCATCCTCCTCCCTCCTCCTCCTCCTCCTCCTCCTCCTCTCCCTCCTCCTCCCTCCTCCTCCCTCCTCCTCCTCCTCCTCCTCCTCCTCCTCCTCCTCCTCTTCCTCCTCCTCCTCCTCCTCCGCCTCCGCCTCCTCTTCTTCCTCCTCCTCCTCCTCCTCCTCCTCCTCCCTCTTCCCTCGTCCTCTCCTCGTCTGCTCCTCTCCTCCTCCTTCTCCTCCTCCTCCTCCTCCTCCTCCTCCGCCTCCTCCTCCTCCTCCTCCTCCTCCTCCTCCTCCTCCTCGATCCTCTCCGAGCCTCCTTGTCGAGCTTCCTCCGCCGCGTTCGCAGCAGCGGCCCGAGAAGAGGACGCCCGTCCACTTCGCGGCGGTCTCTGGGCACCTGGAGGCCGTGCGGGCACTGGTCCGCCTGCGCGCCAGCTTGGCTGGCAGGGACCGCAAGCAGGACGGCGGAGGAGGAGGAGGAAAAGGAGGAGGTGGAGGCGGAGGAGGAGGAGGCGGAGGAGGAGGAGGAGGAGGAGGAGGAGGGAGGAGGAGGAGGAGCAGACGAGGAGAGGACGAGGGAAGAGGGAGGAGGAGAGAGGAGGAGGAGGAAGAGGAGGCGGAGGCGGAGGAGAGGAGGAGGAGGAAGAGGAGGAGGAGGAAGAGGAAGAGCAAAAAGGAGGAGGAGGAGGAGGAGGAGGAGGAGGAGGAGGGGAGGGGGAGGAGGGAGGAGGAGAGGAGAGGAGGAGGAGGAGGAGGAGGAGGAGGAGGAGGAGGAGGAGGAGGAGGGGGGAGGGAAGGAGGGATGGAGGGAGGAAGGGAGGGAGGACGCATTAGGCGGGAGGCGCTGTTGCTGTAAACCGGGGGCCAGGGGCCCAGTTTGGTGACACCGTGATTTCCCTTGAGAAAACAGGGTGCGAGCCCAGGGAGCTTAAGTGGACAAATATAATGACTACAGATGGATCAACAACAAGTATTCTTTCGAACTGAGAATTCAAGAACAGCAGCAGCAACAACACGTGCAGCAGCATCAGCAGCAGCAACAGCAATAGCAGCAACAGCAGCAACAACAGCAACAACAACACATTCACTAATGGTCGCTCCTATCTGCTCGCGTGCCATGTTCACCACGTATCTCCCAAACCCTCGGTACCCGCCTTCGTCGTCTTCGATCGTACCCCCTATCATCCTTGCGTGCCACGCGCATCTAGCGCAGCGCGTAAAAAGGGGAGGAGCGGACAGATGGAATTGGGAGGGAGAGGGATGGAGCACGAGAGGAATTAGCAGGAGGGGGGAGCAGAACGCACGTGGCACAACCAGACGGGCAGCTCGGGCGGGCAGTCCCAGCGGGCGGCGGGAAGGGCGCCCAAGCGTGAGTCTGGCATGAGTCGCCAGGAGGTCTCGAGCGACAGCGCCATTCCCGAGTCAGTCGTGAGAGAGGCACGGGCGAGGAACAAAACAGCGGCGCTGGAACGAATCAGATCATGCCGTCGGAGATCTGGAGCCTCCGCGGTCGCGGCCGCCGTTGTCGCCGCCCGCCGCCGCCCTTCGCGATCGCGACCGCAGCCGTCGCCGTCGCCGCGGCTGCGGCCGTGCGCGCCGCCGGGGCCGCCGCCGCGGCCGCGGCCGCTGCCCTGCCCGCCGCGCAGGAGACGGTGCTGCACGCCGCCGTGTTGG